CCCCCCAATGATGAATTGATGAAGAATGCCTCAGACAGCAGCAGAAACCCAGTGTGGAAGAGGCAGAACAAGAGTCGTCATCATGTAAAAATAAGACCCTGCACAGCATGTACCACTGGCAGATTGAGGGGGTGGTTGATATCAACAAATCCTACCAGTGACTAGAGAGGGCTGGACTGAAGGACAGCACAGTTATTAATCTGAGCAGAACAAGAACAGGCCCTCGGCACAAGAGCAACTGGTCTACCATATCAAACAAGACCAAGATGCAGGCTGTGCAAAGATGCCCAAGAGTCCAACAAATAATAGCAGGGTGTGTAAGATCCAGGCAGGCAAAGCATACATGGAACGCCACAACCAAGTGGATGGAATAATATACAGGAACATCTGTGCAGAGTATGGACTGGAAGTCCCACAGTTAACGTGGGAGACGCCACTAAGGGTGGTGGAGAATGGACATACTAAGATACTATTCCAGATCCAGACTGACAAACAGGTGATGGCTAACCAACCAGACATTGTGGTGGTCAACAAGTTGTGGAGAATCAAAGTATCAGTTGTCCCAGTGGTCATTGGAGCACTCGTCGCTGTGATCCCCAAAACAGGAAGAGTGGATCCGACAGATCCCAGGAACAACCTCAGAGATCTCTGTCCAGAAGAGCACAGTCCTAGGAACAGCTACGATACTGAACAGAAGCCTCAAACATGCCTCTGGTAGAGGACCTGAGGTTGACGTGAAATGAAACATACAGCTGACACAGTTTCTAATATTTCAGTATTAAGTATATAAAAAAGCAAAAGACAATAAAGTAACTAATGGAAGCTGTAGGAGTAAATGTTCCATGAGCAAAATATATATAATTTTTTTCTTACAGTGTTGAGTCCTTCCACAATAACCCAGTTTCTTCGTCTAAAGACTTGGGTCACTTTTCCCTGCTTTCCTTTGTCCTTCCCAGCAAGAATCTCGACCTGAAAAACCCAACAAAAAATCCAAAACATATTTGAAATTTCACATGCAGTACTTATCGTAAACCAAGATTCAACCGGGTGGATTCTTTTAAGTACAAGAAAGCATTTGCACGACAAAAGCAGTTGCAAAATCACAACACCAACTACAAAACAGTATGATCAAGTACAAACATTTACAGTTCCATGTGTTTTTTTCTTTCTTTTTCAGAGACTTCTTATAAAGTATCACAGAACTTTTGTTGGTTGTAGTAATGCATTACATGATGGTAAAGATTTGCTTATAACAGCAAATTTGCACTTACATTCCTAATTAACCAATGCTCTGCAAAACATCCTGCTCTGAGTGTGTGGTTTATGTCTAAAGGCAAATAAATAAATAAATAAAAATCCCCAAAATGCTAAAACACTGAACTGATTGGTGCTTGTTTGTTGTGAGACTAGATATAGTCTCAAATTAGAAAGAATCAGCTGAAGGCTCATCATCTGCGCAGTGGGAGAGTTGTGAACACTTAAAATATATATATATATATAGAAATGTTAAATAATTGTAAAGTTTCCTGAGAGCGGGTTTCTCACTCTGTCTCCTTTGAGCAGAGTCCAGTCCTCTGGCTCCAGCGGCTCCACGAACACCTTTTTCCTCCTCTTCCCCGGAGGATTTCGCATCTTAGCAGCCACAGTCCACGGTCTGCTGGTGCCGTAGCGGTAATCTTTGGGCACAACAACCTTGGCTGCCATCGATAGTAAAGCGGTCAGTCTCATTGTGCTGAAATAAGTGGATCAAAACTGAAGTTATTTACCGCAGTCCTGTTTAACAGTCCCGACGTAACACAAGCTAACGTTAGCTAACACAGGCTAAACTAGCATGAATCAACTTCAAGCGGTTCGCCATCATTTTCCTAAAAATACACATCTAAGATGCAACGCATACTTTTTATGTCGGTTTGTTGATTTAAAGTAAAAAAAATAAAAATAAATACTGAAACACAGCACTTACCCTCTGTTAAGTCAATGTCACATGGACGACAGACCAGACACTAATACTCGATCTTTGCGCCCCCTGCTGGACAGGAGGACTTGGCCCTTGCTTTACGCATGCGCAGTTATCCCGTCAACTAGGCAGTTTGCTGCAGCCATTAGGACAGATTTCAGGGTGCAAGAGAACAGCAATGCAATAATTGTATTCATATTATGCTTAAGCTATTGGGAAATGTATTTTAATGCATTGTATTTACCACTTTCCCATTTGTTTTATTGTGACACTGCAGCTAAGAGGCCAGTGCTTTGCATTTATTAAAATCAATTGTTGTAGTTTAATTGTAAAATCTGGTCTCATCTCAAGGTGGAACCTCGATTTGTTACAAAGCCACCTTTTTAATCTAGACCTCATGGATATGACAGTGCATGTAATGCATTTTATAAATCCTGAAAATATCAAACAAATCCCCAGAAATTATTGTTGGGGTTTGTCATAAAACACTGGAAGTTCACCAGTTGTTAGTGCCTTTGTGGCGAGACGGAGCTGCAAAGCAATCGAACAGGAAAAACCGTGACAGCTGTTCACAGGCACACAATAAAGTGTCGTTACTTTTCTGCTTTGTGAAACAAAACCAAATGAGAAACGGTTAAACAGGTTTGGTTTGAACTCTTCAATGAGCGCTGAGTGACACTTTGTATAATACTTTGTTGCTAAAGGAGCGAGTGACTCAGTATGAGTAATAAAAGAAATGCTGATAGTCCTGTTCGTTAAAAACAAAACATTTTTGTTACTCCGGGAGTTTTGCTTAATTGAAAAATGACAGGAGTATTTTTGGTAATCAACATGTTTATTAAATCAACTGGCAACTACAATGGTAAACTAAGCAGCAGATTAGGATGAATGTCAGCTTTTGAAGAGAACAGAGAAAGCAAAATCTAAATTTACACTTGCAAACAAAATTAAACACTTGAAATTAACTCCAAACCTCCAAGTGGTGCCTTGAACATTTTGACATTTAGTGGTGTGCCGAAAGAAAGGCGGCCATCTTAACACAACACCTAGAGTGATTACTAATATTCTTTTTTTAACGCAGTCTTTCCCTTTGTTTCATGACTTAACATTACAAAACATGAAAAAACACTGAAGCAATGAAAGGACTTTCACAACTTTCTTTCAAAGTAAAAAAAGAAAAAGACAAGCTCTCTAAAGTAAAACGACTCAAAATCCAGTTAGAGGGGATTATTTTAACATGAAACCTCAACTCTTAAATTTCAACAACTGTGACCTTAACATTACAAGAAGTTGTAGGTGGACTTGACAGTTGTGAGATTTATTTGTGATGCCCAGATGAAAAAAGGTAAAAGAACACCTTTTCTCTCGCAGCGATCAGCACTGCTCCACCTTGACGTTAAAAGATCGAGGCGCAACATTTAGGAATGTCTTTCTGCTTCCAACCACGTCCATCATCATCAATTAAAGCGTTACAGAGCAGTTTACAGGTTATAAATGAGATTTAATGTGTTCGTCCATATTTGAGATCGTGCAGTTTGGTCACCACCAGTAAAGCGTACGCACCAAGAACAAAACATGTCGCAGAAAAAGCAAACTAGAAGACGACTGAGAAAAGGGGCTGAAAATGCAACTCACCACACATCCAATGACTGAATAAAAGACTGAACGAGGCTAAGAACACGGAACTAAAGCTCAAGAGTGGTGGCAAAAATTGATGCTTTCCTCGTACAATTTCTTTGATTTGCAACCTTCAAATGGGACTATTTTTTTTATTAGCGATTTAAATGTTCTTTTTTAATATGTAGTATATATTATTTATTCACTCCAACTGGAAAAAATGTCTCGACACCTATCATTCAGTCCTTGTAATTATGTAATTGCACTTAGAAATAAAAAATATATAAACACCCAAATCCCGTTTATACATGAGCCTGAAAGAGCTCTGTTTAGTTGTTTGAAGTCAGTTTAGCAATTCTTTTTTTTCCTCTGGGATATATAATATCCCAAAAATGGCCATTGAAATTTTGTTGTTCATTCTAAACATTGTTTTCCCTTAAATTCTCAAATTTGTTAAACAGCTGAAATCTGGCATCCTGTAGGTAATCGTGTCAATGCTTTATTTCCAGACAAAAGCATTCATTGAGGGTTCTCGGTTTTCTTCTGAGCTGATGTTAGGCGCTGTCTGTCGCAGACTGCAGGGAGAACAAAGCAATGACTTTAGTATCGGCGATTTTACAAATAAACACACACCAACAATCATTTTAACAATTAACTTCTAAATGATCCATGTATTCATTACAATCCTTCATAAGATTGAGATGTTTTGGTTTAAATATTGTTTTATGCAAAGCATATTTACCACGTGTAGTTACACCATATGAACGACTTAATATTTCTTTTTGACTAAAACAGCTGCAGACTTAGTTTGGATGTAAAGTCCACATGTGAACCAGTTCTTTACATTTACAGATTTAAAACAGGATTTTTGGCTCAGAGTCCAGAGAATAAATAAAGTGCAGATAAAAGTGTGTACACAACACAGAGGCTGTTCATTTACACATCAGCCTTTGTTCTCTCTAAAACTGAAGGTTTCTGAATCCAGGTCTGCAGATGAGTGTAAACTGCAGATCCAGATGTTCTGTGGTCGACGCTCATCTGCAGACCAGCGGTCACTTTCAGGGATCAAGATGTTCACGTCCTTGATAGAGAGGGTTGAGAGAGGAGTGAAGGAAGCCATCTTTGTGAAGAGGAACTGTCCATCTTTGAACAGGGTGGAGGCCTCCGTGTCCAACTGTCGCCATCTTACAATGCTGTTAATGCGAGAATCACTCAGCCCCCTGTGAATAGCAAGCAGCCATCAGAGCACTAATGATCGGTCGTTCAGTTGATTTTCCGCCTTTTTCATGTGAACAGCTAGTTTTGGCTGTCACCAGCAAACTGCTTGATCCACTGTGCTACGTGTTATTTATAAGACTGAGTTTGTTGCAGCTCTTCAGACTCAAGAAGTCTTTTGAATAAAAGATGAAAGGTTTCAACTATTTTTTTTTTAATCCGTCCAGAGGACCTGACTTCACTTTTAGGTTGTTCTACCTGGATTATCGAGCATGAATCAGGATTTTAAAGAGAAGCACTCACAGCAGCTTAAAATGTGTTTCGAGCAGAGAGAAGTCCTTTGTTGTGCAAGAACCAGACTCGCTAAAGGAAAAGACTGACACGTTTACATCACTTCTGCATAAGCAAAATCAAAGATCAAACTCTGTCAGGTGCAAATGGAATGAGAAACTACAACACAATGAACCCTGTATAAAACAGCAGTCATTAGTTACCTGCTACTGAATGGATTTAAGTTTGATACGCTTAATCTCGACTGGCGATTTGAAACATTTATCTTTTGTTAAAGGGAGACCAAAACGCTGCCTTGGGAATAATTTTTCTCTAAAAGCTTTGTGCCTTAAACAAAAGTGCAAGTACAAAAACCGCTGTAGTTTGAGTTAATGTTCTCTGCTGAAGTAAAAAAAAAAAAAAAAACAGGCACAAACTGACTGAAACGGGACAGTTCTCTAATTTAACTGAATTTATCTCAAACCTTTAGAGCTGAAGCGTAATACTTTGTTTATTCACGTATTGATAGATCACATATTCACATATTTCACCTTCTCTGCTGTTAGCGGAGCTCCTTCAGGAGCCTTTTCCTCTGGTTTGGACTCGCTCTGTGAGGAAGGCGTTTTTTCCTTGCTTCCAGCCACATCATTCAGCTTGGCCTCCGTGTTGGACTTGTTGCTGTCGCCTTCTGCCCCCGTATCCTTTGGCCGTTTGGGGGGCGCCTATCAAAAGCGGGACCGAGTGTGAGACGGTGACTATCGAGGCATTTCCTTGCTGACAGTTTGATGCTCACCTCGGCGGACTCCTCTACTTTTCGTTTAGTCCCTCCCCTCTCGTTCTTCTCGTCAATCACCAGGGCCCCCTCGTCCTCGTCGCTGCTGCCCTCGGCGTTCTCTTTCTCCAAGCTGCCCGTGTCTCCGGCTCCTTCTGAATTCTCCTTCTTTGACGACTGAAGTTCAAGACGTGGAAAACATTTAGCTCACAGCCTTTGATTCAGATCTACTCACAGTAGAATAAACTGATCTACCTCATAGTCTTCATGAGTGACAGTGGGATTGTTCTCGATCTCCCAGAGTCCCTCAGTAAAGCCTTTCCTCTTGTTCGCTTTTCCAAACTTCTCCTTGCTTTCATCGTACGGGAACAAGTCCTTGGCCCCCAAAAATGCTCTGTAACAGTGATATAAATAAAAATCAAGCAAATAATGAGTTTAAACAACTGCAGAAAGTTCCCACACCATGTACTGTGTTTTATTATAGTTCATGTATTATTTAACCTGCATGGAATGGCTTGTACTAATCTGCACAAATCACAAAAGGTTAAAAAATAAAAATAATTTATATCGAGACTTGTAGGAGTTATTAAAGCACATTTATTTATTGTGTAATTTTTCTTTGGATAACATTTATTAGGCAGAACATGTGATACAATAGTCACAAAAAAGCAACAGTCTTGAAAAAAGAAAAAGGAGAAAATTTTGTGCTTTTTTTTAACCTTTTGTCACCAAAACACACAATCAGGTTTTGACACAGTTACTTTTATTGACTTAAACAAAACTTACCAATTGAAGAAAAAAAAAAATCATAATAGCAAACAATGAATTTCCTTCCGTTGACACAAGCTACGCTAATATTTGGCATTTCTCCACAAGCTTCCTGAAATTCACCGCCCACGCAAACCGAACGAACGACAAACGGCGAGTACTCACGTCTCGTGCGTCCCAAAAAAGAACACCTGGTATTTGTTCGAGGGAGACTTCACGGCTCCTTCAGGTAACTCATCGATCTGTAGAAGAAGGATTAAAAACACACGCTGGCGGATTAACACGATCGGACTTCACATTAGCATCACACAATCAAAACATTATAAAAAGTTTAAAGCTGAAAAAGATATATTGCGATGAATATTTATGACGATAAATAAGGGAATGAAGCAAATCTAAACCTGAATTTATCAAATTTAGGTTTCTAAACATTAAAGAGGCACTACGAGATGCAAGTTAACTCTCAAAGGCCTCAGTGGAGCGAACATTATTTTGATGATTTGTTTGTCTCCGTGCAAACTGTTCTCAAAAAGGCCATGGTTGATAGACAAGACAGGCATTTTGTCTCCTCCAGATTGGACCCCTGGGTGCTGGTGGTTGGGGCAGGGCCCAGTCTGTTAACAGAACGCTGATAAGACTAGAAAAAAGGAGGGAAAAGGCTCTGGCTGCAAAAAGTTAATCAACTGTGCACCAAAAGAAGAAACACTGAGCTGCATGTTTGCTTTTCAACAGGTCACACCATTTGTGGTTGGGGATTTTACCTTTTTGTCATTATGTTTAGCGTGCACCAAACACTCGTTTGCTTTTATTATATACCCATTTTGTATACACGTATTTACATCACAAATAAACACTGCAGAGAGGCTGCGTTCCATCTCTTTTAAATCAAGTGGAAAATGAACAATTTACACATTATTTTGAGTTAATCCCCTTTCTCCTAGTAAATATCTGGATTCTGTGCACAGATCAACACATTTATTTTATCATCAACAAAGAGACAAAACTTCCTATTTGTCTGTTTAAACCTGCACTTTTCTCAGATTTTGACATTTCTCTGGACATTCTGTAAAAATATAAAAAGATACAAAATGTGCACATTTTCATGCTTCATTTAAAGCTTACATTTTAAGAGTTTGTTTTAAATAGTGTGTTTTAGTGGGTACTGCTGCTTTAAGAGTTTTCAATCAAGTCTGTGCTGTGTGAAAACTTGATTTGTGGGCTTTTAAGCGTTTTTACAAACCTTTAAACCCTAATAATAAAACACGGGACAATGTAACTGGTTGAATATTGAACCTGGACCAAACGTGGAGTGACCGAACTAAGTGAAAAGCAGCAACTCGGTGGCAACAAGTGTGGACATGCGTGTTTACAAAATGCTAAAGCGTAGTTATTAGCCTACAGGAGGTAATAAAATTTAAAAATAACGCGTTTAAAGTGTTTTGTGCGTGGCGGCCTCGTGTTTGCGGTGAAGTTTCGCAGCCATTATCCGTGCTCGTGACGCGACCGTTAGTCCGCCGTTCTTTAACGGTTACAGCTAGCTTAAACAGGCCGCCATTGGCGACGCGAAAACCGCACACGAAACCAAGAATAAGAGGATTTATCGAAAACGTTTTAAGGTTTACATCGAGCCGGGCGGCTCAACGAGGCTTCTTTACACGATGAGTCACACGAAAGAAATGTCAGCTGCCGTCACTGTTTGTTTATGCTTGGCAACGCCGCGGCTAAGCTAACTCATGGTAGCTAACTCCCGTCCTGTTAGGCCTCGCGGGAGAACGAATGAAACGAGCTAATAAACCGAGATAGGAAACAAAGAGAATTAAATTAATAGCACATTTAAAACTAAAGAACAGAAAAAAAGCAGATTAGGTACTTACCCTTGCAGGCCAGTGTGGATACCCCTTCATTTTAGCAAACACCAAATCTCCAGGTTTGTATTCCTTTTGCCTATTAGACCTCGGCATGTTTCTCACTGAAACTGCTTTTTATGTCAAATATATGGAATTAAAATACGGTGGAGTTTTTTTTAAATGCGGTACCCAATCCGTTGTGGTCACGTCCTGCAAATGAAGAAGCGTCGAGTTGTCCGACAATAACAACAATATAAACAACAATAACGCTGATGAACCAGGCGCGAAAATTTGGAGCGAAAACGCAGCGTGACGTTTTCTTTTTTTGTTGTTTTGTTTTTCTTTCGTTGAATTAGTTAAAAGCAGTTTCCTTCAAATACGGAATAAATTAAAGCTTGTGGTCTAAATTTAATTTCCAGGACGAAGCGCGGTAAAATAACTCCTAACTCGTCTCGGACTATTTAGGTTTGAAATTAATACCCGCTTCGCTGAAACAGACGCGCCCCCCTCCAGGAAGAAAACAGCGCCGCCTGTCGACCGGAAGTATTACAACTAAACCAAATAATTATTTTTTTAAATAAAACTTATTTCTAAAAAAACCCATAGTCAAAGTATATCTGCTAAACTATTATTCTGCTTCAATGTATTTTATTCTCTACTAGAGTTGAGTGACAGCTGTGTAATTTCAATAATGATGTACGGATTTAGAGTAATCTGACAAACATGAAACATATTTAAATATTTAGTCAAATATTTCACAACAATCAAATAGAAAAAACTAAAATAAAGATTAGATAATAGAACATCTATTTCAGTTTATTATGTGTACATGTGCACATAAAAATGTGTTAAAAAAAAAACATTAAAAAAAAAAGCTCCAGTAGCTAGAAAAATAACACAGTTCTCTACGCTCTGCAACTACACTCATGACAAGTACAATAATGTGAGTTTATATCAACAAATCTTGAAAATATTTTCGATATTTCTTTTTTTTGTTGTTGTTTCATTCGTCCTCTAGGGGGCGCAGAAGCCCTACCTGGTTGTAGTTTTACAATTACTCCACTAGGGGGTGCTGAAGCCCCGGTTGGTTGCTACAGTACATCATTTCAAATTAAAGGCGCCATTGTGTTTGTGTGACGCCTCTGTCACCGCCTTCTCTGTTTGTTTTCTGTTTCGCCTTATCAGAATGTCAACTCTTTATTGCTGTACAATCGTCTGACACTTTTTAAAAGAGGTTTTCCACCATAGGACCATTTGCACTTGAACTTATCAATGGTAGTCTGTCCTCTGTGGTCCCTGATCATTTTAAACAGTGCTGCATCCTCTAATAAAAAAACTGGACTGGATCCCAACTATGAAGCTAATCTTAGTCTATCTTATTAGTCTATGTCCACACTTTGTTTTATATCTAAAATCCTAATGTTGTTGGATGTTGCTAAACGTTTTTAGCAACATCTTTGAAGCTATTGACTTCAGTGACTGTCATCCTTGTGCTTTTAGATCTCTGGATCACCACATTCTGCTAACTCGTTTGGAGCAGTGTGTGGTCAGGGACATTGCTCTGGAACTGTTCAGGTCTTATTTGGCAAACAGGATGTTCTACATTACTCTTCATGGTTCAGTATCTTCTTTTCCTCTTTCTTGAGGTGTCCCACAAGGCTCAGTTTTAGGTCTTCTTGTTTTCTCTCTATCTGCTCCTGTTTGGTTTTCACAAAATGTGTTATGTCAATCCATTGTTATACATATAGTTAGATTTATGTCCCTCTTAAAACGTAAAATGCATACTCTGTTGGTCTGCTTCTTATGTATCTTGGGGACATAAAGGCCTGGATAGCACTTACATTTTAGAATTTTAACAAAATCAGAACTGAAGTGATTTTTTTTTTTGCAGACACCACTGGTCCTGTTGATTTAGTTTTTTTTGGCCCAGTACAATAGACTGTGAGGCATTTAGGGATTGAGCTGGAACCTAAACTTAAACTAGATAACCAGATCAGGTCAATCGTTAAATTAAGTTTTTATCATTTGAGGCAGCTTTCCAAAATAAAACCAATCATTCAAAATAAATAAATAAAGCATTTTGAGACAGTAATCCACACCTTTCTCACCACAATTTTTGCCTGACTCCACTATCTCCCCATTTAATGGTCCAGTTTAAAATACTTTCGCTTTTAAAACTTTAAATGATCTTCTTGCCCAACCATAATTTTCTGAACTGCTACATCTGATTTCATGTGTGTGGCTGTCTGTTTTTATTACCGACTGTTTGTACTGTATCTGTTTTAACGTTGACTCTGTACAGCACTTTGGTCCATGTGTTGTTAAATAAAGTTGGATTGGGTTGAGTTTCACCTCCTGTCCACTAAGAGGCGCTGAAGTGTCAAAGTTCTCCTTATTGAATAGAGGAAGCAATGTTGCCAGATAAATAATAATTATCGTATTTACATGATAGTTTAAGGGTCTCGTGTATAAAGAATAGTTTCCCAAAAGTCCAAATATACTGTACGATAGTTTTTAAATTTTCGAGCATCCATGTTCGCTAGTCACAAAGATACATTGTCTTACCAACAACACTCCCTCGATCTCTTACATTCATCCAAGTAGGTGCAATCCATTGAAGTGACAGTACGAAAAGTCGTCATCTCCTATCTGGCAACCCCGGGAGGAAGTAGCCTTCTTTGCGAATGATGGAGGCGAGTGTTTTGGTGGGTTAGCGACTAACGATCTCGTTTTCTTAGCGCAACAACACATTAAAGTGTGTGAGAGCACCTGGCTGTATCGTGCGCTGGCGTGTTTTGTACGAACAATAACAGATTAAGACCAAAATAAGAAAGAAGCGGTAAGTAAAGTAACTGTGGCCTTGCTAACGTTTAGCTAGCTTCGCGTTCGTCTGGTCGCGCTTTTCTCCAAGCTACAACTCAGCCTGGACTTATTGTAGCCCCGTGGCTGCAGTGAGCAAAGATAGTCGTACCTTTTAATTGAGGTCAGTCCATCGAATAAGTCTGCGTGAGCGCGGCTTCTTCGGACCTAAGTGGACATCCATGTCCACCGGTTTCTGCAGGTCTCTAATCCTCAGAAACATCAGCAAACATGTCTTTGGTCGCCTATGGCAGCAGTGACGAGAGTGACTCGGAGGAAACGTCCGCCTCTCCTGCAGCGGAGAGAAAACCGAGTGGAGGGTCACTGTTTTCTGTCCTGCCTGCTCCGAAAGCATCTGGATCTGCTGAGAGAAAGGAAGGACAGAAGCATGCAGCAGCGGACAGCACTTCGAGGGATGATGTAGATCCCCATCCATCTACAGGACGTTCTTTCTTATCCAGCCTGCCTAAACCGAAGAAACGAACCGAGCCTGTCAAGATCACTGTCCCACAGGTCCAGAGACACGATGTGAGTCAGCTCATACCCATGATTATACTTGTATATTATTATTGTATGATATGAGATTGTATTCATCTACACATTCTTCATTTACAGTCAGACTCTGATGACGATGAACCAGCGAAGAAGAAGATACAAGCTCAGGTAAAGTTTGTTCATCTGATGGTGAAATAATCCACATTTATGTGAGACTTATTGGACCGGCTGTAGTCCCATGTGCTCCCTCTTTCATCATAAAATGCATGGTGGACGTGCATTCAGAAAAAAAAGCATATTTGACTGGCTTCCATAATGTTCTGCTGTAAATGTTTATTCTATTTTTTGTACAGATGTATTGTCTCTCTTCTGCACACAACAACAATACTGTTACATCTCTGTTTTTTTTTTTACCAGGGTGCAGGTTCAGGCTTGTCCTCCATTCTCCCAAAACCCAAAAACCTGATGGTGAAGGAGACAGACAGACCTCTGATTCCTCATACACTCACCAAACGGCAAGAAGCCAAAGGGCCCAAAGCCCCTGGAGCTCCTGCTCAGGGTCTGATTGGATCCAGTGCGTCTCCCTCTGCCATCAAAGCTGCAGCCAAGTCTGCAGCCATGCAGGTGGCTCGACAAATAGCGACAGATGAGCAGGATAACGAGGAGGACATTTCACCACAGAACTACTTCTCCCTCGAGGAGAGCTCCCAGCCTCTTCCTGCAGTTGACCCAAGTTTGGATCCTGAACCAGGAGCCCCTGCTGAAACCCGTCATTATTCAGCTGCTGGTGAGCTCGGACAGTCGGATGCCCCTCTCGAATTTGGCGGGACCCACGGGGCAGAGGGTGAATGGGGAGGTAGTCCGTATGAACAATCCATGGCAGGCCCAGAGGGTTTTCCTCAGGTATTACTGATTTCATAACTTCATGCACAACACCCAGAAGGTCTGGATGCAGGCTACACTGCTTAAATGCACTTTGAAAATGATATTAAAAATATTAGTTGCTAAACGGCAGTGTGCTTTATGTGTAACTTGAGCCAACATTTATGTAAAAGTTATTGCATAAAACTTACTAGCATTAACTATAAATGATCTCGGATGAATACTGTTGAAAAATCGTTATTTTTCTTGTACAGGGATACTATGAGCCCTACTACCAAGATCCTAATCCTGGATTGGCAGATGATGAGGAGCCTGAACAGTCTGCCATGTTTGATGATGAAGGGGTAAGAAATCTGCTGCTCATCTGCCTGTTTTGTTTTTTTAGTTAATCCCTGTACATCAAATATGTTAGTGTGTAGAGTTTACTCCTGAGCTCTTATCATGTCATCATTCTGCTCTGTGCTGCCCCGTGTATTTTCTGACATCTCTTCTTTCTGCCATCTCTCCAGTTCATGCGACTGCAGGGGAAAAGAAACCGAGGCAAGGAGGAGGTGAAGTTTCTGGAGATCAAAGGGGACGACCAGCTGAGTGGGAATCAGCAGTGGATGACCAAGAACTTATCGGAGGAAAAGCAGACCCGGCAGTCTTACAGCAAGGTGACCACGTCCAGCCTCCTGCCGCTGGGAGTGCTGCGTGTCTTGTATGGGCGGGGTTGGGTTAAAGTGTGCTCTAAAGTTAATGCTTTTGGTTTTCTTGGGTTTTGTAAAGTTGTTCAACTTAGAAAGAGCTAAATTCCTGCAGTGGATCGACTCATTTCAAGCTGGCAACACCTAAAGCTCATCTAGTAAAGTATTAACGTGCTTTAGAAATATTTTGCGGTCTTTGATGGAAACATTTAGGAAGAAAAATTTAACAAAACCAGTTCAGAACGTTATGTCTCATAAGCATCTTCAGCGTCTTCATTTCTGTGAAAACAACAAACATCACATAACAGCCCTGTTTAAAGTAAAAACCCAAACTCTTTGTCCTCTCGGGTTGTAAGCATACGTTTTGCATTAGTCAACAAAGCACGTGACTGTGAGATAGGGCTGTGCGATATCTTGGTATTTTTAAAGTATCGAGTTAATTTCAGATGCGATATAAAATGAGACTATAGCCCTATTCACACGGGATTAGTTTTACCTAGGGACCACATGCTATTTGTAATAACTACGGAGACTGTGTTGTTAATTCCCTGCGTATCGGCAATGTCAGTAATTTGTAAAGTAATAATTCCCCCGCAAATTACCAGTACCTACTATATTTTGCTGAACTCCGAGGTCCTGTGATAATACTAATCCAATGCGAATAGGCATCTCTGTGATTTGGACAAAAATGGGCAGGATCCGATACGTAATTAGTCGTTTTTTGTTTTTGTTTAAGCAAAATCATTTGCAAAAAATATCAAACAGGGCTTTTTTAAATGAACGCGCTTAGGCTTTTGTAGATTCTGCTACTTCCTTCACCGCAGATTTCAGGTGAGGAGATGTGCGCAGCCGTTCATCAGCTGATCGATCTATCCATCCATTATATTTACCCGCTTCTTCTTTTTCGGGTAGCTGGGGTCGCTGGTGCCGCTGGTGCCCATGTCCAGCTATCACTGTGCGAGAGACGGGGGACACCATGGACAGGTCGCAAGTCCATTTCAATTGGTGGGTCAGCGGACGCGCGCGACTGGTGACAGGTTGTCCATCTGAGCTTAACGCGACTTCAACCGGCTGGTCGGACCTGCCTCCTCCTCATCAAGTAGATTAACACAATTTTATATTGTGCATTCTCATTTAGTTTTATTTGTGCTGTATGATTCATAAAACTGCATCAAAGCACGAGACCGGCTCGGTCTGAATCCAGGTCGGGCTCCAGGTTGACGGCTCTAAAATACGCAGCGCATTAACATCATATCTGGAAGATGTCCGTAAATTTCAGCTAAATCTCAGGCTTTGGTTATCCCGTGCGAATGCGCCACATAAAAAACAGAGGTTGGGGAGTAATTTATTTATTACATGTGGTCCCTAGGTAAAACTAATCCCGTGCGAATAGGGCTTATATCGATATAAAACAATATAGTCTTATACTTGTACTCATATTCAGGTCTCTCTTGTAAATGACCTGAGGCTCAATGGGATTAACCTGTATAAATAAAGGTTGAATGGAAAACTACGTAGTTATATACATGAAAATCTGCCAGTTTTTCTTCCAGTCTGCACCTTCACGTGGCCCCTCCTCCTCTCCCTCACTGAATACAAAACCAGCCCCAAGTAGGTCCCCACCCCCACCCCCGCCTCCTGCTGTGTTAAACTGTGTGTTGCTGCAGCTCCCACTGTGAACAAGCTAGATGTATATGTAGATATCAGTCGTCACAATAGTTGTTGACTCACAGTGGAGACGGAGACACTCTGGTGTCATGGATTCCTGATAGATGTGAAAATGCCTGGGAAGATGCTACAAAGGAGAGGTTTGGTGTTCTCCAAGAAACTAACTGGTTTAGAGCTGCAAGGTGTGATGTTGTCTTCTCATTTAAAAACACGGAGCCAAAAGCCCTATTCGCACAGGATTAGTTTTACCTAGGGTGATTTATTTGCTGTGTTTTTTCTGGTATTTACACAAAACAGTAACTAGTAGCGCAAACAGAAGCTCAAACATCAAGGCTCCATTGGTGTCTGGAGCAGTGTTGCCAGATCTCGCAATAGTAACAAGCAATCAGCTCTGTGAATACAAGCCCAAAAAAAAGCCCAACTGGCAACCCACCACATTGTGTAAAACAGGCTGTTTTAAAAACATATTTATTATGGCATTACACATAAACAACGGCAAAATTATGCTAAACACTTTGAATAACATACGTTTAAGCTATGATTAAAAAAATACATTTTGCATTTGTAACAAATATGTAAATCATATTTTTTCTACATATTTTTAAAAACTAAACATCCTGACATCTGCATGAGTGGAGCCCCCTAGTGGTCGGCCACAGTATGAGTGTTTGTTTGGGTGTGCGCCTGTCGCCTCGCCAACTTGGGCGGGAGTGATAAACAGTAAACAGGGGCATGGAAGGGACAAACTACCTATTACCACTCGTCTTTTGCTTTATTATGCAGAGCTGGGAGATAATCAACTACAGTAGTTTAACTCGGAAAGAAAGTCAAGCCCAAATAAGCATCTTTACGTAAAAAAAAAAAAAAACGCAACCCACGACTCACAAGATTTGCAAGCGACTTTAGAAAAAAAACAAGCCCAAAGTCACTTACAATAAATGGATTTGGCAATATTGGTCTGGAGAGAAAAATCTCCCAGCATGGCACTTTACACAGAGCGGTGCGTTCAGTAACGTCGAACAGCCACGGTGCATTCAAGAGCATAGGAACCATGGAATTCAGAAACAAGCAAGTCATAACCAAACAGAACGGAGCTCAGTAAAGAAGCCAACTACACAACAATGTGGGCTTTCTAACAGCTTTGATAATAAAGGTTGAATGAATATACTTCATTAGAATCAGACTTTTTAAAGAGCAAGTCAACCTTTCATTATGTTTGCTCCGTATGTTTTCTGTTTAAATTTGAAGTGCACAGCTGTGCTTTTGGTTTTATTATGCAGGAGAAAAATTATTTTATTTTTGAGACATTTATTTTGTAGTTACAACTGTTTATTATTTATAAAGGTGCCTGTGTGACAATTGGGACTAAGCTTTGACTCAGAAATATATTTTTGTTGTTATTTTATGGAGAGAAAAAAAAAGATATCTATCATATGTGACCAATGTTCTTAAAAACATTGAGATATTAATTTTGGTCCATATCGCTCAGCCCTACTGGGGATGATGGGCAAATCTCAGGCATCTAAACAAATCTTTGACTGTTTCAGTAGAGGCATGTGTGATAAACAAGAACAATAAATTTTAATGTAACTTCTGGGTTTTTGATTTTTCCCACAGAGAAAAGGCGTACAGCCCACTGGACAACAGAGGCGCAAACATCAGATAACGTACCTCATTCACCAGGTGAGCGACCAAACCAACACAAACACTTATGCTTTGAAAAATGTGACTTTTATCACACGATGAAGGATGTGCTGATATTTGAGCACACAGTGGTCACTCACATTTTGAGGAGTACGAGTTCTTTCTGGAACTAGAAAACGTATTTAAACTGGATAATTTTGTTTATTTTCAGGCAAAGGAGCGTGAACTGGAGCTGAAGAACAACTGGGCAGAAAACAGGCTAACCCGCCGGCAGACCCAGGCCAAATATGGCTTCTAGCATCTGTCACTGTGGACTGTAGCATCTTACAGATGCACTAAGAAACTGTGTTTAGGTGCAAAGTGTATATAAACGAAGCGGATTGTTCTTCCTGCCCTCCACTCTGTAAAGAATTCAGTTTTTATTTGAAATATTCTTCCACATCTAAAATCCGAGTCATGGCTGCCACTCCTCAAAGTAAAAATAACCAATAAAACCCTACAAGTGTTTAAGGTACTGACCGTCAACCTGTAATAGAAATATATATGTTGCCTGTTATGTTTTTTCCTTTTGGATGCATTTTCCCTATTTTTCTGTAATAAGAGGTCTTTTATAAATATGTGGTGAGAAAACGTGACGTTTGGCTCTGGGGATCAGACATAGAAATACGCTGAAGTTGTTGGAAAGCGGTGACGTGTTATATTCATTCTTTTAAGTCAACTTGCAAAAATAATTTTCCTTTTGATCTTGTCAGATGAAAACTGAAATACCAGAGAACCAAACATGAACGTTTAAGTTATTTAGCTGATCCAGACCAGAAGTCCTTTAAATAAAAAAATAAACTTTAGTTTTACATGCTCAGTCGAACTCGAGTTGGATCTTACAGTATTTATATTGAAATATGGCTTCATGAATTTCCTCTCAATCTGGATTCAACATGTTCTACAGATGTTCTCTGCAGCTCCAATCTGGATTTTTTTTTTTTTTAAATCCTGGAATATGTCACCAGCCCTTTTGGTGGGGTTGAATGTACTTGGAGAAAAAAATATTTCCAAAAAACTTTATTTAAAAGGTCAGACTACACACTCTGCCAGTCAATTCATCTTCAACTTATGTTTTCAGTTAATTATGAAGATGTTCCAGACCTTTCATTCTGCATTTTCACACATTTATGTCAATGTTCAGACTCGTTTTTACCAGACCAACCACCCTTTGGTAGCATGTTATGCAGCTCAAGTAGCATTTTGCAAAGATCTCCAAACGTTAACTGTTCCAGACGATTCTTCACACATGATTTATTACAACTCTTAATGGGCAAATGAGTATTTAAATTTTCTATTGCCAACCCACTGAGTCTGCAGCTACATTTACATATTTGTGACAGAAGTTACAGAAATTGAACTCTTTAAATCTTTCACCTCATGTAAAATATTAATATTTACATTCCAAATTGATATAGCGATCTGTTTAACGGTGTGGCTTGAAGCACCTTTGGTTTACTTTGCAGTTAAACTCAATAAAACAAGTTTTCTTGCGTCCTCTCCTTTGAATACCAGTTTTTATTAATTATGACAATAACAATGATTATCCAACACAGAAACTCCACATAATCCTAAAGCAAAACCTTTAATGTGAAATTCCTGCAGTACTTTTATTTTGCGCAGTAATGAACTTAGCGGTTTTACATGCATTCTTGCATATTGTATTGTTTACTGATAACATCACAGATTTACTATAAAACATTTTCCAACAATCAAAATGTGGAAAATGTGTAATCCGTATTCGTAAGGACACGTTGAAAGTTTTAATTTTTATCGGGGCTTTCACTTGGTGGTGCTGTTGTGTCGTGGTTTGTTTGGGTGTCTGCTGAAGTCGTTTTCTCCACGGAGACTTCACCCACCACCACCTTCTTTGCAGTCTGGCCTCCTGCAGAGATGTCTTTATATGGCAACAGCGACATGGGGATTCGAACCGTGTCCAGTCCATTAACCTGGAAAAATAAAGATTGTGTTTCAATAAATAACTGAAAATGCTCCAGCTCATCCTGTAGCTGCTGCCAAGAGGCACAAAACACTTCTTGTTGCATTCAACATGCAGAAGACACATTTGCAGAAACTGGTATAAAATAAGTTGATTCAATTAAAATTTTTTATTAAACTGTTAAATGTTGCATTGCTAAAGACCGATTCTTACTGTAACGTCACACCAGTAGTCACCCAACTCCTTGATTGGCTCAAATGGAAGAGTCAAAGCATGAAGTGGCACAACAACTCCCAACTAAAGGAAGGTATAAAAACGAGAAAATGAATTCTGAAGTTCAGGAGCACCATGTCTGACAGCTAAATGGTGCTGAACACAAAAAGGAAGTAGAATGTGAAAATAAATAAAACGTAACCGAACCTTTCTGTCAAGCTGTCTGCAGACGACATCTTTGGTGAGCTGGAATTCATCAGACAACGTTTTCATAATTTCCAAGTTGGAGGATTGAAGGAATTCAATAGTCTGGGAAAACACCAGCACACCCACTGTTAAAAACGGATGGTCATTAAACAGTTTTTTTTTTTAAATATATATATATATATATTTTATCAACTGTTAATGCTCATTAGTCAAACATAGGTTTAAATTAAAGGAAGTTCAGAGTAAATGAACCATGTTAATTGGATAAAACTCACCAATTGTCCTGTTCGGGTTTGGATATTTGCCTCTGACCTTCCCACAGGTGAAATCTTATTAAAATATAAAACAAACATGACAGTGAATAGTTATATGCTTCTGTTTCAACCTAGAATATACATGTCATTAAAAATATCTCTCACTTTCAGCTCCTCAGCAAACATCTGTTTATTCTCCGGTGATGGATACACAGCAAGACCTCTAGCCAGCAGCTTGTTTCGGCCATAAGACTTTTTCACAAACACAGTGTCACCTCTCTTGCCAAGTCCTGTTGATTTGATTAAAAACGGGCTCAAGAAGAATGTTTATAGAAATTCTTTGAAAAATCTGAAATCATCCAAAGTGATCACTCACTTGGTAATTTAAAAAAGTTAAATCTGGTCCTCTGGACATTCAAAAAAAAAAAAGACCAGATTTAACTTTATTTATTTTTTCCTACCTGGATTATTGAGAATGCATCAGGATACTCACTTGGTAAGGTCTCAGTCAAGATTAGCTCCATATCCTCCTTGGGAGAATGTCTGGTGTCTTCGACCAGTTTGTAGATATTGTGTCTTCGAGCATAAAGCCTCGGTGGACTGCCCACTTTGGACAGGGGGACCTGCCACCATCGCTCGACTATAACTGTGTGCTGAGAAATCATGACATAATGAGACAATTCAACTTTTGTTTTCAATTGGTATGTCATAAAAAAACAATCTGTAGCTTTAAATCTGCTTTTATCAGTAATTTAGTCATTCATTTATTGCTTAGACATGTTTCCTATCAATGTCCTTTTTAGTCAAAGAAAACATTTGAAAATGTTTGCGGGGATTAGGATTAGAAGACTTATGTGTTACAACTTCTATCCCACAGTATTAAGCTTTACAGAGTAAAGAAAGAAGCAATGCAATTTAATTTCACCGATTTAAAGTTGCATAACGTACATTATTAATACCAAATAGTTTTATATTATAATTTGCTGTAGTTTTATTTAAAGATAACCTCATTCATGTTTTATACTTTTAGGTTTAGTGCAGAGAGTTTAAAGCACCCACTCTATAACAGATGGCTGTTTTGCAATTTTGATCGCACATTTTTAGTCAAATTTGTGCTGTACAAAACTGAGTAATTCCCAATTTATGTATTTTTCCAGCTAAGACATCAGGCTTTCACTCTTTTGAACATAATCCTTAATGGCTGTCTGCTTATTTATTCTTCGTCCAATTTCTGAACCTAAACATCATAAATACAACATATTTTCCGTTGAAATCATATTTACCGGTAGTTCTGTTGTATTTAACTATCGAGGGGGTGCTGAGACAATTACTACAGGTGTAAATAACAACGAACCTGAACGGGACTCAGATAAATGGTCCTCGCGGAAGACTGTCTGAGCAGGTCCTGAAGGACGCGGCGGCCGGAGCTCCACATGACGGCTCAGCACTGCAGACGAAAACTTTCGACAGCGGCACCAACAAAACTCACCCAGAAGTCCAGAGCGAACTCCAGTTTAGCGAAACCGACATCAATTTATCCAGCACACAACATTCAAACAAGCACAGCTATGACCGCCTGAAATACATCAGAAATAAAACTAACTTGTGTCGCTGGTGTGACGTTGAAGGACCCCGTCAACGATATAGAGGTCCCTAACAAAGCCTGAAAGAAAGTACTCACTCGAAGAGCTCTAAAATGGTATATAATTACGATTATCTTTATTTTACGAGTAAAATGCTTTTACTGGGTTTTATACAGATATTATAACACGTATAAAAGCTACTCCGAATCTGCTCGAATTTTTACAACTTGCATTTTTCGATGGCATCGTTTTTAAATATACTGTATTCAACCTTTATTTAGACAGGTTAATCCCATCTGAGCCTCGAGGACTCCTTTACAAGAGACGTGATTTCAACAAAGAATGATGACAACAATGGACAAGAGCGACAACAATAGACAATCTTAAAAGGCATACCGTTTTTTTTTTTGTTTGTTTTTTTACAAATTAAAATAAGATGGCAAAAAAAGTAAGCAAAAACATGAGGCAGAAAAAGGAATTTAGCTTTCAAAATAAAATACTTTAAAAAAAAATACAAATCTTGCTGCGCCCTTCCTCAGGGCAGGGGTTGGCACCATAGACATGGTTGGCACCCACCATAGTGTTTATATCTATGGTTGGCACAGCAAACTAAGTCGCATTTTTTTCATTCAACCTTTATTTAGACAGGTAAATCCCATTGAGCCTCGAGGACTCATTTACAAGAGAGACCTGATTTCAACAAATGTCTCTCTCGCATGAAGAGTTGGCAATTGTTTTTATGCCGGATGCCCTTCCTGATGCAAACAGACCACCGAGCTACCACAGCCCTCTGTGTGGAGCAGGGAGCTGCCATCTAGGGTGCCCCGGGGTGCAGATGGTTGGGTTAAGAGCCGTGCTCAAGGGCCCAGAGTGGGGCAAATGAGGGTGTAGGCAGGTGTGGAATGCTTCATCTTGCAACCTCCAAAAAAAAAAAAGAAATAATTAACCAAAATTAAAGGCCCACAGTTCATCAACCACCCCATGTTTTGTGTTATTTTAAAAACGTGAACATATTGTCTTCACAATTTTCCAATTATACCCTTCTAGTTTTGTCAATGAATAAGAATATAGAACACCAGCTGAAAACATGGGGGAGTGGTGGTAATTGGCTAGAGAAGGTGAACCTGTGATCGGAAGGCTGCCGGTTCAACTCCCTGGTCCGACAACATCAAAAAAATGTGTGAGGAAAAGGTAAAACACCCACACCTGCCTACGTCCTCATTTGCGCCACTCTGCACCCTTGAGCAAGGCCCCTCCAATCTACTCCCCCGGGTGCCCTAGATGGCTGCTCTCTACTCCACATAGAGGGCTGTGGTAGCTCTGTGGTTGCATCAGGAAGGGCATCCAGCGTAAAAACAATTGCCAAGTCTTCATGCAAGTTAGTTTGCTGTGGTGACCCCTGAAAGGAGCAGCCAAAAGAAGAAGAATAAGAAAAACGATACCAGCTGAAAACATTGCTGCTGAATACCAGTAATTCTGTTTGTTACATGCTTTAGACATAATGATTAATGTTGAGGGCAGTTACAAGTTTACAAATCTGGCCAATTTAAAAACACATTAAAACCTTTCACAATACAGTGTAAGAATTCAGATCAGTCAAACAATAGCACTACTACTTTATAATTACCAACTAAACATTAGACGTCGAATGGATGTGCAGATCACGTTTATATTGAGTCCGTCGGTCTAGACCAATTCTAGACGTCTCTACGACGTGCAAACAAGGTCCACTCTGGAACTCCACAAGTTAAATTTTGATGTAGAAAATACGTCTATATTGATCGTCCATTGGACGTCGGAAAAAGACGTCATCTGGAGTCACAGTCTGCACCTGCAAGGGACCAAAATTAGACGTGCAAAAACAACTTTAAAAAGACGTTGTTTAGATGTCTCCTTGCTCAGTGGGTAGGCTATCACTATAGCAGCACAAATAGCCAGCATTCTGAAATCTAACCATCACATGATTTATAAATATTTTATATCGTAATTTATATAAAAAAAGTTGTCAAGTAAATACACAAAACCTTAATGTTTTTCTTTAGTCATCCTGTTATGGCGCATTTATGCGTGCTAAACAATCTGACATGCCATTGTATTTTGGCTTCAAATGTTGACAGTTTCATATAAACAGGAAGGAAGTAATGTCTTATCAGTTGCTGCAAACAACTTTTGCAGGTCTTGGGGAATGAGCTGATGCTGTAAAGGAAATGTTTACACTGTTAAAATGTTGTTTTTTTAAGTGAAACAAGATAAGACTTATAAAAAGATTAGACATGACCTTGAATTTCAATCACACATCACCAACAGCTGGCCCCTGAAATCTACTTGTTGCACCATATAAGGAGCTGCGGTTGGGTATCAAGCGATGTCTTGCAACTACAGTTGTGCAGCAGGTCAGAAGAGTGAAGCAGAACCCACAGACGAACAAGAGGGACACAGCAACCCACATCAGTGTGGTGATAACAAAAGCAAACAGGTAGGTCATCTTGTGGCAAAACCGATCTGTTCCAGAGTAGTTTGGAGGATAAACTGCATAAACCCAAATAGTGCCTAAGGGAAGAAAATAAAAATGACCACACTTCAGGATGTCTCTAAATGCAAAAGATTCCTTGATTTTTCAGCAAAATCTATGTGAATGATCAGAATTATTTTTTTTTTTTTGTCGCACCTGCTATTAACCATGCAAAGCAAAAGATGTGCAAGACTGTCATGCAGGCCAAGCTTAGGACATAAACGGCTCCTTCCATTTTGGTGCTGTAGGTGAAAATCAGAGAGAGAATGCTGGACGCTCCCAGAACAATCAGGTAAATGGGGATGTGTGGCTGCACAGGACAACGGTCCAAATGTGTGGCCCCTATGAAGAAACCATATAACACAAGGATGAAAGGCCCTTCTCTGTGCAGAAATAACATTAAAAGCTGAAGTATAGAAGAAAACCTACCCAGTGCAATGGCTCCTATCATTACCATCCACCAGATAATGTTGACTACAGCTACAAAAAAAGAGGCAAAGGGTCAACAAACTAGACACTGAAACTGATTTTAAGTGGGGAAAAAACAAGGCTTACCAAGTGTTGCAATCAAAAAAGCACTTTGAGGTCTGAAGTCCATCTTTAGAAATGAGATTTTGATTAGTCCAGAAAAGCTGCAGTGTTTACAATTTAAAGGTAATTTCTTTTAAACGAGAGTTAAAACCTCCGCGTGCACTAGGATTGACAAACTTGACTGCTTTGCTAACATTGTCGTTTGAGCAGGATGTGAAGTCATGGGTCTCAAGCATTTCTACAACTGTTTTGCAACAGCACATGCTTCAGGAAACATTGATAAAATCAGAAACCATAATGTAATACAAACTATTAACATGCTAAAAGGTTTTAAACTACATAAGTGCAAGTGGAATTTGATAAATCAGCACATTTTACAGGCTGACAGTCAAACATAGGACCAAACAACGTATTTAAATTTAAAAAATGACAGGAAGCCGAAATGCAAACCCACAAATACAACTTTTTCTTAGCTCAACTGAGATGAGTCACAATATTATTTTCACCATGCAGTATGTGTAAGGTGTAGACTAGTTGGAAATATGATTGAGCCACGCATCCCTTATCTTTACCCAAAACATGCATGTCCAGCTGCCTTCAGGGCCAGAGGCCTCATGTATCAAAGAACGGGCAATTCTAAAAAAAAAAAAAGTCTAGATGCAACAAAACTGAAAATTTTAATGGAATGTAAGTCAGACATTTTTAAGTTAGTGGGGTGTAAAATACGTTTGCCACACATGTAAAGATTGACACTTGTATGTGTTCCCTAAATTTTCATGTGTCTGGGCAAACACAAGCTCCCCGAGCACACTGAGGACCACTTTGAGCAACATCAGATGTGCACGTCACACACCAGTATACCTGTTCAAAAGCTAGGATCATAGTAAGTTACATGGCTTATTAAAATTTACAGCAGCAATTTCCATTAGTTTACTTTAAGTGGCCCACTTAAAAGGAAAAAGATAAGCTTTTGTTCACGAGATGTGTAGTACCGTATGTTATGTGAGAGTCCTGCTTTGGAAGACTTCTCGCGACAGTGGTCATTCGTGTCAGAAACTAGTTTAATGGGGGGGGGGAAGACTCTGGTGGGGGGTCCAGGGGTCCTCCCCAGAAATTTTTGAATAAAGTAGATGCCATTTTCTGCATTCTGGTGTATTTTAATGAGTTAAACATCTAGTTTTACCTACACAAGTAAACAATTCAATAACCATTTTAGAGTTAATGGCACAACACTACTTGCGCGACCAACAACTCGCTTTGTGTGAATAGAGCACTACTTCTCATGCATTCTAGTCAGTTTAAGAACCAGTGTAGCTTAGGTTAAGTTTTCAGGGGAGAGAACAAAACCAATATGGAAAATCACTCCTTACGAATGGTCTAGCGTAAAGCAAGAGTTTTTGGAAGCTTAAAATACCCAATTAAAACTCCAGTAATTGAGTAGACCTACTGTACCCTTACCCAATATGGCTGCAATGGGGGAGGCATGTGATGCTTTTGCGCCTCAGCCAACAATAAAGGCAAAGATCCACAGAACGATGCAAGAATTCAATGAAATTCAGAAAGTAAATTCTACATTACACAACCCATTAAACTTTGCTTTTCCCTCATTAGTAGTCTCCACAGCAACTCATCCTCCTGTATCTTAGTCTACAGCCTGTCCTCACTCCAACTTCCTCCATGTCCTTTAACCAGATCAACAGTATATCTCCCATCTTAATCCTTGACAGCTACATTTCTAAGATCCTACCAAATATACCAACTGTCCCTCTGGACAGTGGAAACTATCTCATTCCAGCCACTTTTGTCAATGCTACTCCAGACTAAACAGCTAGTCTCACCATTTAAGAAAAAAAAAAAAAAAAAAAAATTCAAAATGCTAGAAATCAGGGACAAGTAAAAAACTGAATTTTATTCAGTCACGTTGTGGGCTTCGTCGCCGGCAGTCACGTTGTGGGCTTCG